ACATGGGCCAGTGAAGCAACATCCTCCACAACTAGACTGAGGAACAGAAGGACAACAACTTTTCTGTTCCCCTTCCCTGATTCCCCAGCACTGTTCCCCTCCTCGAATTCCCCAATAAAATCTTTAAAAAGAAAAATGAACCCAAAGAGGCCCATACCAAGACACATCATAATTAAAATGGCAAAGGTTAAAGACAAAGACAGACTCCTAAAAGCAGCAAGAGAAAGGCAACTAGCAACTTATAAGGGGGCTCCCATTAAATTGTCAGCTGATTTCTCAACAGAATATTTGCAGGCCAGAAGGGATTGGCACAAAATATTCATTGTGATGAAAAGCAAGGACCTGCAACCAACGTACTCTACCCAGCAAGCTATTATTTAAAATCAGAGGACAGATAATGAGCTTCCCAGACAAGAAAAATCTAAAGGAGTTCATCACCAGCAAACCATTATTACAAGGAATCTTAGAGGGAATACTTTAAGATGAAAAAAAAATCAAAATTATGAATAATAAAATGGCAATAGTTACATATCTATCAACAATTACTTTCAAGGTAAATGGATTAAATATTCCAATCAAAAAACTTAGAAAGGATGAATGGTTAAGAAAACAAAAACCTTACATATGCTGCCTACAAGAGAATCACTTCAGATTGAAAGACACACACAGACGGAAAGTAAAGAAATGGAAAAATATATTTCATGAAAATGGAAAGAAACAAACAAAAAAGCTGGAGTAGTCATACTTATACTAGACAGAATAGAGTTTAAAACAAAAGCTATAACAAGAGACAAAGAAGGACCCAGTAATCCCACTTCTGGGTATTTATCTGAAGAATGCTATTTCAAGGGGACATGTGCATCCCTATGCTCAGTACAGCACTGTTTACAATGGCCAAGATGTGGAGGCAGCCTGGGTGTCTTCAATGGAAGAATGGATAAAGAGGAGGTGGTAGATATATGTACAATGGAATATTTCTCGGCCATGGAAAGGAATGGATTTTTGCCATCTGTGGCAGCATGGATGGATCTGGAGGGTATTGTGCTGAGTGCAGTATATCGGACAGAGAAAGACAGATGCAATGTGATTTTGGTTATTTGTGAAATTTAAAGAACAAAACAAACAAACAAATCAGAAATAAACTCATAGTTACGGAGAACATTTGGATGGCTGCCAGATGGGAGGGGGGTTGGGAGTTGCGGGGAGAAGGGATTAAGAAGTACAAATTGGGGCGGCCAGTCAGCTCAGGTGGTTAGAGCGCAAGCTCATAACACCAAGGTTGCCAGTTCAATTCCCAAATGGACCAGTGAGCTGCACCCTCCACAACTAGATTGAAAACAATGACTTGACTTGGAGTTGATGGGTCCTGGAAAAAGCACACTGTTCCCCAATAAAGTTTAGAAAAAAAAGACAAATTGGTTGTTAAAAACTAGTCATGGGGATGTAAAGTAAAGCATAGGGAATGTAGTCAATAATGTAGCAATAACTATGTATAGTGTTAGGTGGGTACTAGACTAGTGAGGGGGATCACTTCTTAAATTATATAAATGTCTAACCACACCTGAAGCTAATATAAAATAATATTGAATGTCAACTGTAACTCAAAATTTAAAAGGGGGGGGGTGGGTAAAGGGGAAGGGCAATAAGTGGTCCATATTTCTATGTATAAAACAAGTAAGTCACAGGAGTGTAACATACAGCATGGGGAATATAGTCAGTAATATTGCAATAGTGTGGGTACAGTGTCAGACGGTTGCTGAGCTTATCAGGTGATCATTTCTTTAGGTATATAAATGTTGAACAACTATGGTGTACCCCTGAAACTCATATAATGTGTGTTAGCTATATTTTAAGTAAAAATCTTTAAAATATTAGACTTAATTTTTTTTAAAAAAGTAATCTGGCAGGAGTGGGAGGGTTCAGATTAAGCGAATGCCTAACCTATGATACAGCTCTACAGCTCCAGGGTACATACTCAGAGAGATTATCTCAAAGATGATTAAGGGAACATGTCCAAAGATGCTCGTCGGGACGATGTTTGTGCAGCCTAAGCTGAGTCAATCCACCTGTCCATCACGGGAGCGTGGGTGGAAAATCGCATGGATGCACACAATGGATTATTTTGCAGTAACTGCAAGTAATGGATTAGATGCGCACATAGCAGCATCTATGAGTCTTTAAAAGCATGACTCTTAGTAGAGGGGAAAAATGAAATAAGGCTTTTAGCCAATAGTATTTTGTAAATTAAAAAAACATGCACACAAAACAATATATGCCTCACAGAGACACACAATTAAATTGCACTTTACACAGTAACATGGTTGCAGAGCATTGAGTGGAGAATGGGAAAGAGAAATGAAGGCAAAAGGGAGTTAAGAAAATAAAAAAGCAAGAAAGGTCCTTGCAAAGACTAGAAAATGTCCCAAACTGGGGAGGAGTGTGAGTAATTTAGCCTTTTGCACCTCTAGCTCAAACTAAAAAAGAAAAAAAGAAAAAAAAAAAGCAAAGAAAGACAGAAAAAACAACTGGGTGGGCTTCGTGGGTGGACTTGGCAGAAGCTGGGAAAGCTATTTCCAAGCTGCAAGCAACTTGGGTGCAGACTGTGTCTGTTTGTTTGAAGGAAATGTGTTTCTCCAGTGGTGACAAGACGCCATGGAAGAGGTGGGAGCTGGACCCCCGGGCGGCCCTAGGAAACCCATGGGCACAGGTGGCCCAGAGGCTTTGAAGGTGTCCAATGTAGAAACCCAGTTTAAGTTATACAGTGAGAAAATTCCCTTCTGAGCGTCTTGGCCAGTATTATAACCTGTGGGGCAATAGGGGTCTCTGTCCATCCTGGAGCCCCAGTGGGAATGGGAAGGCAGCTCTTCCCTGAGTCTCTGCGGTGCGGCAGCTGCAAACTGGGAGGGCAGGTTCTACCAGAGCTGCCCTGAGCAGCTTCCAGCCAAGGCTGGCAGACCAAGCAGAACGAGGTGCTCCAGAGCCCCCTCGGGGGTGGGGGGGTGGGGGTACCCAAATCCCAGAGCGGGGAAATCTGAGGGGCAGCTGCTGAGGAATGGGGCTGAAGCCATTACCACAGAGGTGGAGGCCTTATTCGTGCCCGCAGTTCAGCAAGGCAGAGGGGACATTCAGGGTAACACATTATGCTGCAAATGTCCTAGATTAATAATGTTTAAAACTAAAACGGGATCATAATATGCCGTCCTGTAACATACTTTCGGCATGAAGCAGCATGCTGTCAACATTTTCTGTGATGCCATTCTACTATAACCACATCATGGGTTTATACGAAACATGCCAGTTACTTACTGCTCAGCCCCAGTACCCCACGCTTGGAGCCACAGGCACTTTTTCCAGGCTCCCTTTGCCAGCTGGCTTCCTGCAAGGTTCAGCCAACGGGAGGCACTGCAGAGAGCTAGAGGGTAGGAGGGAAAACCAGGGTATTTCTAACCACTCCCTTCCCTGCTCTGTGGTTCCAGCTCATGCACCCCCACCCCAGCTTTTGGACTCTGGTCTAGCCCATGAGATAGAAACAGCTTTTCTGATGTTGCTAATCTCTGGGTTGCTTCTCTATAATCTTTGGCTTCTCAGCTCTTTTATCACCTGAATTTTTAAAATGTTTGAAATGACTATAGTGGATTGTCTTCCTGACTGGACCCTGACACAGGGTGGGCACATCCGTTATATGGAGCGCCCCTTTTTTGCTATTATAAGTCATACAGTAGCCAATACCCAGAAAGCTAAATCTTAGTCCCCAACTATGTGTTTTTCTTCTGCACAAATTTCTAGAAAATCATACAAAACATGCTTTTGATGTATATTGCCTCTTCCCCTCTTAAACGGTCATACTAGTTTGTACTCCCCCTAATGGTGTGAGAATGCTCCCATAATCTCTTCAATTTGAAGCTGAAAAAATAGGTTCTAATTGTTATTTCTTTCACTAGCGAGGTCAAGTTTTGTTTAGCTTCCTGTTACCCTTGGTCAGTTTCCTCCCGGTTAAGGTCAATGTCAGTGGGTATCACTAGGGAGCTGAGAGGAATTTATTTCCCAGGTTTGTATTTTGAGTATTAGAGAGAGGGGAAAGTTTGGTAGGGAGAGCACAGGGGCAAATGTTTTTAAGATGTTCATGTAAGAGCTTTATATACTAAGTATGGATCACATACGCCTACGGAAACCACCCAGTGCCCCTGAGGTTTCTGCTACATCTCAGCCAAACTGCTTAAACAGTAGACTGCAGGGCCAGCTGTGGCTCTTCAGTGGTGCATGAAATCTAGGGGCTTAAACAATGGCCTAGCGAAAGTCATCTTCCAGTTGCAGTACTGAGTTTCTGGGAAAAGAAATAACTGAGGTCAAGGTTAAGTCTTGGCCACATGCCTATGAGGAAAGAGAGAAGACACAAAATGGCGTCACTATAGTTAAGTTAACAAAACTACTTAAATAAGAGTGGGTTGAAACCAGAGGAATGGATTTTTATCCTACTTTAGCCTGAGAACTTAAAGTTTGGAACTTTCAGTTGTGTGTCTATCAATGCCTGGATGTACATAAACCCTATAAATAACCCTCTGAAGAGTTTAGGAAAGAATATTCCATTGTCCAGAACACTACACATCTAGATTACCATCTTGGACCAATTCAGAAGCTAAGAATGCAGAACTGATTCTTCTCAAGAGTGTGCTTTTTTTTTTTACTATAAAAACTCAACTTTTCTTTTTCTTCAGAACACTCTGGATATTAGCTAGTAGTGTTTTCTGAATTGTAATTCTCTTAAGGACCTTGAAGAAAGCTGTCACTTAATTCTAGTGAAGCCTACTGATTCATTTACACTCGTTCAATACCTGTCAAGCACATACTGTCAAAATCACGACACCCATAAATTATTCATACTGGCCAGGAAGTGCTAATATGCCCGAAAGATAACTGTACTCTTGAAAATGCTCATGAAATCACACATGAAATATTTTGAAAAATGTTAAAATTTATTAATAATAGTTAACATCACATAGTTAATTCAACTAGTCTTTATTGTACATGACATCTTCACTAGACTGAATGTTTGAGGAGTTGAGATGATTCACTATTCAGCACATCCCAGTCCTAGATTGAGATTCACTGTATTTACATCCAGCAAAGCAGCATCAGCAAGGAACTGTCACCTAATTGTGGGAACACATTCAAAATGCACTTTCCAGTGTTCCTTTTTTGGAAACCAACACCTCTTTCACAGCTACACATACAGTTCTACCTTTTAAAAATGTACAGTTTCATAGATGGAGCCTAATTGTCAAGTTTAAAAGTTAAAATTCATCTCTATTTCTTAGGCATCCTTTAGTTATACACAAATCTAGACACTGTTCTCAGTACAAGTTTGATAAATGTGCAAGAATTGGGTGCTATTAGTTGTGTCTTTCCATCTTTCCATTTTGATCCTTGTATCCTAGTCAATAGTGTTTCAAGGCCATTCCTTCTTTATAATTTAGTATTCAGGTTTAATGTGTGTGGGTGCCATATTTTAGGGCAAAAGTGGGCTTACAAATTCAGAATTAACTGTACTCCTGAAAAGTAGGGTATAAAAGGTTTTATGTCACTCCCACCCACCCCCTACCATCTCCCAGCAGTTTGAAATAAATACCATGTATAAAAACAGCTCAGCCTACAGAAGTCCTCCACAAGCTTCTTATAGAACATTTACAAAACCAATTCTGTGAGGAGGACCCAAATCACAAGTGTTGTCCCTGAGGTTTCATTCCTTTGATTGTTTCGTTGTTTTGGTTTGTTATCAATGGTCAGACACAGTTTTTTAAAAAAATGTGTTTGGTGGCTTCCTTTATCTTGGTAGAGAGCTTTAAATTCCACTGACTGCCCTAAGAATGAAGATTCCTAAGCAATGAGTATGTTTGAAATGAATCCCATTTCCTTTGGTTAACATCCCATGTAATATTGGCCCAGGAAAGTCTATACACAGAGCAGCCAGCGGTTGTGGTTTGTTCAATCCATAGGCCCAGCTGCCTTCACTATGTTCCCTGCTTTCCAAGCTTCTGAGTCTGCAGGGAAAGGAAGAGCTGGGAGGGAGCTGCTTGGCCGTTCACTCACCCTGAGGAGGCTGCCCTTCTCTTTCCGCAGGTGAATGAGGTATTTCTAGTAACCAGTCAGTATCTTCACCTTCCATCCTTTAACTACACTGATCTACTAATGAGGCCAGGTCTGAGGAGACCCTGTGTATCTATATACATGACAAATTAACACATAAATACATTACATTCAAATGACCGTTACATATAGTGTCCAGATGAAGGGGCAGATGTACTTCGTGAAATAAATTTCAAACATAAATTAAAATGAAAATACAGTGTTTATACTACTGCAGGAAAAAATTTAAAAGTAGACCAAAAAGTCCCCACACCCCCTTAAAGGTCCATGGTTCATGGGTGACCGATGAACCCACAAGGAGATACGACAACTCCACTTGTAAGATGTGTCAACTTGTTTTGGTTTTGCTTGCTCAGACTCAGGATGCTTTGATTCCAGGAATGGTAATCACTGTAACACAACAGACAATGCCAGCAGATGACAGTGAAGAGGGGCTGCCACATGGTTATCCATGGATTTTCCTCCATTGCCTACCTCCCTTCTGCTTGTGGGAGAACCAGGCTCAAGTTAGTGGAGACCTTCCAGGTCTCTGAGAAGAGAATCAGTATCAGTCTCCATGCGGGAGGGATGCTCTCCACCTAGAAATGTCATGTTCAGGGTCCAAGGTAAAGAAGCCAGGGTTCAAGGTGTAGCAACCGTATCTTTTCATTAGTGTCCCCATCCTGTAGAATTATACAGGGACATGGAATTCAGCCAGGAGGATTACTAAAAGTTAAAATTTGTTTTAAGTTTTAAGAGAATCAAGGTGAATGGTTGTGACAAGTGTGAATAAATCCTTAGTTCAAACTGTATTTATCTCAGGAGGGCCAAGGCTTGGGCACTGAACTCTACACTGAGGACACACAGAGACAAAACACAGTCCGGCAGGGTCCTCTCTGCCAAGGAAGAGCCGAGGGGGTCTGTCTTTGACACAGGGGATGGTATCTTATAATGTAAAGCAGGGAAGAGGGGGAACCAGAGGAAGTCCCTTCTGATTTCAGGAACTCTATCGCTGTCCAGCCTCGCGGATGCGGCAAGCCACAGCGGTGATGAGAGCTGCCCCCTTCCCACTGCCGTCCTCTGACTCCAGGAAGGACACGTCACATTTCGGAGCCAGGTCCTTCACTGTCTTGTGCATGACTTTGGCAAAGCTGGAGAAGTTGGGAAGAAGACAGAAAAAAACACCTCAGTCATGACTGATTTGTGTCCTCAGAGATGAGACCCTATGAAGCGATGCTAGAAACCCAGGAATAAATTAAGATGAAGAAAAGAATGATAGCTACCATGTATTAAACACTTACTATGTATTTTGTGTATCAGAAAACTGATGCTTGGAGAGAACAACATGCTCAAGTTCTACATCAGAGCGGGCAAGCAGGGAGCTAAGAGTCAAATGTCTGAGAATCTGGCCAGTTGTGTTCTTAAAACTAATCAGTGAAAGAGAAGTTCAACAGTCATGGATGCCACAAGTGTGCCTTGCAGAAGCGCACGACCTGGTCATAAACACCGGAGGGAAGGACCAAGCCCCACTGGTGTGATATTCTATTTTCCAGGGGCATTGACTCACATCAGACACAATCTAATCCAAAATGTCATTAAAGGATCAGGCTCAGGGAGCTGCTTGGGGACATTACAGGGATCTGCCTTCCCCAACTCATCTGTGAAGCCGAAGACTCAGGCTCCTAACACCAAGCCCCAGTGCTGGTGGTGGCTTGGCATCTGTACCCCTCTCAGCCCTCATCTGAAACTGAGGCTCCTATTTTCACAGTGACACTGCACATCAACAAAAGGGACTTGGAACTTCCAAGAGTCACTCTTTTCACTAACTGGGTAGACTCTGGGAACATCTCTCAACTCCTTGAAGCAATCATGGTGAGAGCAGATAATAATTCAATTGAAGAGTCTCTCCATCCTTACTCCATCCCACCTACTGCCCAGGCCAGGGACACAGCTCTCTTCTTTTAACGTTTAGCTGAAAAGTTTCCAGGGAAGAAGGGCCAGGACGTTCCCTGACTTCAAAATAATTTATTCGAAACATATGCAAATGAGTGAAGAAGCGAAAAGAGAAATGGTGATGAAAGGAAGAGAAAGGAGAGAAGGGATGGAGAAAGACAGGGAAAGAATAAAAAAAAAAGAGAATTCAGTACTTCCATACTGGAAGATGGGTGTGGTAGGAAACTTTTTCTATAAAGGGCCAGATAGTAGATACACTTTCAGCTTTGTGGGCCATAGGATCTGTTATGACTACTCTTCCATTGCAGCTGAAAGTGGCCATGGACAATACATAAACAAGTGGGCATGGCTGCATTCCAATAAAACTTTATTTACAAAAAGTTGTGGCTGTAATCTGCCTGTCCCTGCTCTAGACTGTAGAAAAAAATCTTGCTCCAGAGTTTCAGCATACATTTACCAGAATGTTCATAGGAGCACAGTTTGTAATAGTCAAAATCTAGAAATAACCCAATATCCGTTAGCAGTAGAATAAACTATGACATACTCATTCAAAGGTACACTATACGGTCCTGCAAATTAATCAACTACAAATGTATACTTCAGTATGGATGCATCTCAAAACCAAAAATGCTATGTGGGAAAAGCCAGTCACAAAAGCAGAGGTACCATATGATTCCCCTATGCCAGGTTCAACATTAAGTAAAACTAAACAATGTAGATACATACATAGATGTATGAGGAAAAAAGAAAGCAAGGGACGGAGTCACCATAGCACTTATCCCAGCAGGGGAGAGTGAAGGATGCAACCAGGGAGAGGCTCACAGGGGGCTTCCAAGCTGGGTGGGATTACACAGGCCTACTTCTGGTTATTAATCTTTAATTTATAATATATACATTATACACACTCTTTGGAATGCCTGATTATTTGCTCTAAAGTGAAAGGAGAGAGAACGGGAAGAAAGGAAAGAACAGAGAGACGGAAGGAAAAAGATGGACCTAGAGGGTCAGGGTCAGGCACTCACTGAGGATGTAGCTTGTAGAGGGTTCCATCCACGCCTACTGTCACTTTGAGAGTGTCCAGCCCACGGTTTTCTCGTATTTTGTCCACCACGGCAGCCATGCCTGCGCCACAGAGCTGGGCTGCCCGCTGCGCCACCACAGTGCACACCTCCTTGACGATGATGCTATCGTCACAAGTACTCTCAAGCCCCAAGTGGTGTAAGATGGCTCGGACCTGCAGCAGGGCCAGGCAGTCGCTGGGGTGGAAGGGAGACAGCAAGTGGTCAGTCACGTGCCAAGAGGGGCCAATGGCCCATCACTCTGGGGGCCTGGCCATCCGGGAGCTGAGCATAAAGGCCACTGCCCTGCGAAGTGGCTCTTGTTCTTGAACTTACATAGTTCAGGAACCAGTGCCCATCCCACTGGACCACGAAGTCTTCCTGAGTATGCCAGGCACACGAAGAAACAGCTCCCTATTTCTCTTTGTTCACATGAGGCAGGGCATTGCTACTAAAAAACTGATACTCAAAACAACAGGAAATGTACTGTCTAAGTATTGCATTCATCTGGAAATAATGAAGACAAGACAATGCTCGTACATGGCAGTTTTCAGCTGCAAAGCACCCCTTCGTGTCCATTCTCCCATTGTTGTCCACAGGTCAGCAGGGCAAGCATCGCCAGCCAACAGTAGATCCCTGTCCTAATTCTACTCCCCCATCCTGGGTGGTCGGCAAGCTACTTGTGCACTATTTATGAAACAAATGGAAATAACATCGCAGGAAGAAAATAAACTCTATTATGTGAAGGGAACTACTTGAGAAGCCTGGAATCATCATCTTGCACATAAACAGACATGTAGGATATGTTCTTTCTATTCACTGGTGCAGACAGCCTAGGGCCCACTCATGTCAGTTCCTGCTTTTCTGAATGCCAGAGAGTAATGACACAGCATTAATAGTTAAAGGGCTCTGAAATTCACCGTTCTGATTTGGAGCAGACTCTTCTGCCACTAGACTGGAGCGGGGGAGGCTTGGCTTGAATTCACTGCCACATGGCATATTTCTGCATTGCCTGACAAGTCACCTTCACTCCATCCCAATTGCCTTACTGCAGCCAGCACTTAGGAAGAACCTCCCAGCCAAGCATAAGTGCTTTCGTAGTTTATCTTCCTCTGTGCATTCAATTTGCATCTGATGAGCAGGCATCTTTCTAACTTTGATATTTGATCCAAAAACCCAATAACATTACTTTGCGTGAGCTCAAGCCAGCTTAGCACGAATTTTCATGAGAATTGTATATATTGTCCCTTAAAATGCCAATTGTCCATAAGGTTCTTGAAATACAATCTATAAATATGAACGTGTCAGCTACTAAACTGACCTTTATGTAAGCCACGCCCTGATTTTACCGCACTGGGGAGAAACCTCAGCTTGCCTACCCATTAGGAGGACATGGTCTGACCCTACGCCACACCCTAAATTCTCACCTCTCAATCTGAGACAGGAACTTGGTTTCAAAGATTCCCCTTGTCTTGAGCCGCTCTGAGATGCGGCCACGGAAGAGCAGCCCACGCTTGGTGAAATCGAGAAGGATGTTACGGACAATCTCGCCCAAGTACATGCCACTGATCATTTTCTCAAACCTGCAATGTGGGTAACATTCGTGGAGGTTAAGTAGGAAGGTGGTGGTAAGTGTTAAGACACGACAGACCAGCTCAGTCACCCCTGACACATTTGGAAGTAGAGGGCATGCAGATTCTCCTTGGTGGGAAAGGAAAGGCTACTTGATTCACTTGGGTCAGATTCCTGGTGTCTGAGAGCACACTGACCCACAGCCTTCGGTGCAGCTGGATATGGTGCCCGAGACCCACAGGGTTCCTTGGAATGGGCCCCATCCCAAGGGCTCATTTCCCTCCCAAGGCTTATTCCGACTCCTCAAGAAGGAACACATACCCAAATACCACCACACTTCCAGGAGAAGGGTAAGACATGGAGTCTTAATCCTTGACCTCACTAGGCATTTAGCATGCTTTCTCTTCGACCTCATCATTATCACTTAAGTAACAAATGCCAGCTGGAGACCCCCTGTCCTGGTCTCTAAAACTGAATGTGACTACCCAGTGGCTTGAGGGTCTTTTGGCCCCACATAGTGACTTACAAAAGTTGAGGTCCCCAGTTTCGACAAAGACCCCATCACCAGTCCATCTTGTCTTACCTGTGTAACCTCATTAATGTTGCCTGTGACTTCTACTCTAGATGAATGATTTGCAAAATTCTGCAGAACTATGGACCCTGATTAATCTAGTTAGGAAACACAACATCTTCCTAGTAGGAAGTGTGCTGGACCTTATATTGTTTCTCAGTTCAGGTTCCCCCACCCCATAACAGGGGCTTTGCGATGTGGGGGTTGGCCCCTTGACCAGTCCTGACAATAGAAGGCACCACATACTAGATGGAGGGAAGAGGAAGAAGAGACCCGCCCTTTTGCTTCCTGTTCCTGTCTGCCTCACCCCAGCAATGCTTCTGCTTCGTCACTCTGGTAGGAGCAGGTAGTTCAACTGTCATTTGTTTTTCCCATCGTCCCAGACCTAGGTCTCAACACTCTCTCCCCTGCCTTTTCTCACAGTCTTTGGGGTGGAAGCTGCTTCTTATGAGTATTAACTGTGTTCCCCAATGTCCCCTTTTTGTCTTCTCACCCCTCTAATACCTGTGTGATCAGTTCCCTATAGGAAATTCTCCTTGCAACAAAACTGTTGTGATTTGTTTTCCCAACTGGACTTTGAAAGCATCACAGTCCAGCAGGGGAAAGAGGACTTCACCCAGAACTTTCCAGACGTATTCAGGACAAAAAACCCTTTCCAAGGAAATCCCTTCTAGTAACATCGCAAGAGAAAGAGCATCCTGAGATTTGATGTTTTAAAGGATCTGATCCCTTGTTACCATCCAGTTCTAGGGTACAGATAGCAGGGACCACCCACAGTTGGGTGCCTACCTCTGTTTGCCAGGGTTGAGGGATAGCTCATCCACAGCCACATCAAATTCTGTGCGGAGGTCGTCTAGGCATCCATTGTCCCCAAAGGCCCCCCACTCCATGTTGACACACATGCGCCCCTCTTCCCCTTCCACCAGCTCCACATTCCGCATCTCCTCCATGTAGCAGGCATTGCTGCCCGTACCTGCCAACCACAGAGACATCAGAGGCTCTCTCACTCAGCAGCATCACCCACCCACCCAAAGCCACGTGTCCCCACATGGGCATCACAGCCTAGATCCTTACCAACGATGAGGCCGACTTCACAGTGAGGGTCTTCATAGCCACAGGTCATCATAGTCCCGACTGTGTCATTTACCACGGCAACCACATCCAGGTCAAACTCCTGAGAGCACAAAAGCAGATCTCCAGTCCACAAATGAACCACAATATTCTCCTTTCTGACACTTGCAATGGAGATTTATATTATACAGCATGGCTCATTCTCTCTTTTCATTCAGGTCTCTGCTCAAATGTCCCCTCCTCAGAGACTTCCCTGGTTATGCTATTTAAGAGTGCCCCTTCCCCAGCCCACTCACTCTGTCCTCATCCAACTTCATTTTTCTTCATAGCTCTATAGTACTGGCATTAGCTCATGGGTTTGTTTATAGTACAAGAGTTTGTTGTGGTCATTCCTGAATCCCCAGTGACAAGAGCAGGGCTTTTGACACACAGTCTACACTCAAGAATTACTGACGGACTAAGTTAATTCTCTGCCTAAGACTCTACCACACTCAACACTTCCCCCACTTTCTGAACACAAAAATCATTTCAGACATCATGCCATGTCTCCCTCACCTCTCGCCGGTGAATGGCTTCCTTCAGCAGGGAGACCACGTCCTCCCCCTCACAGCCAGAAGCCTTGAAGCCTTTAGTCCACTTGAGGAGAATGCTCTAGAAAAAAAGAAATCCCACAGATGCAGGGATGAGGGTATCAGAGAAGGGCTCCTGAGTCATTCCCTTAGACAGGTTATACAGACTCCCTTTAATAACCAATCATCTCACCCACAAATGATTCTAAACTGGTTTCATTTACTGGGATTTACTGAGTGCCACACTGCCTCTGCCAGAGAACTAACTTCTATACCCTTGTTTCCTTCACTGGGAAATGCAGTTTGCCCTGTCCCCATCTTATATTTACATCAGAGGGGTCAATGTGTAATTTGCAATCTCCAGTATAGGGTGAACAAGTACCCTGCCCATAGTTGGGGTGACATCTAGGCTTCACCACCATCCCAGCAAGGAAAGCACTCCAGGCAACTCAGAGCCCCCCGGAACCTCCTCATTTTGTTTTTTTGACCCTGTAGGAATATCCTCAGCAACTCAGGTACTCATGTTTGTCACAGGATGTGGAGCCCCCTCATTTTTAATGTGGCCCTTCCCCGTGTCATGGGGGCCCTCAGGGAGTAGATACATAGTGGCTTCGAACATGTGAGGAATATTAAAAAAAAAAAATGACGGGTTCAGTTCCCTGGGTCCCTCTTTGCTGCCACAGCCCATCAAGAAGCAAGTGTGAAGGACACCCAGGCCCCCTTCCCAAGAGGCCAGAATCCATAAATGGGCTGTGGGCTCACTATCTGCCCACTCACATGGTTCCTTCAGGCCTCATTTGGTTGTTCATGCCCATCAGCTTGGCATTTCACGGCCCAGAAATCTGCTATCACAAATCAACCCAAATGTGTCACACTGTGTTCAGATCCTGGGAGATTCAGAAAAACAAAGTACAATCCATGTGTGTCCGGGTTTGAACACCTACATCCAAACACCTTATCTACACCCAACTTGTTCATCTGCAAATTAGCTTCACCTCTCCAACAAAATTTTGTATTTGGGCACTTACAGGTTTACAGAATGTTCAAATAATATTATTTCAGGTGGTCCTTAATAAGACAAGCAGAGGCCCCAGTGGCTGGGGAGGCTTGCTCAAGGCCTCCAGCCAGTCAAGGCAGCTTGAGGCCCCCAGGCCTCAGCACCTGCTGGGTCTCCCAACAACAGGATAATCTCACCAAAGCAGAACCTGGCATACAGCAGACAGAACAGCTAGAACCTAGCTTCTTTTTTATTTGCTTTTAATTTTTGCAATTCTAGATGTGCTCCTCACAGAAACTTAGAACATATAGAATAAAATCTAATACAATGATCTGCAATCTTACAATTCAGGCAGAAACAGTGAACATGTCTTCAGGCCACCAGATAAATACACCAAGATACATACATGTTGGCATGAAAAGTAAGATAGAGTCTGTTTACATATATTTCAGTAGGAAAAGTCTGGAAGTATATACACTGGAGTGTTATATTTTTATCTTCTTATTAATTGTATGTTTTGTATGTACTCGTATAGTATAGAGATTACACTTTTCTTTAAAAACATTTTTATTTGGTATTACCACCAGTATTTTCCCATGTTATTAATATTTCTTCCAAAAAAACTAGCTGCTAATATGAGACCGTGAATGGCTCATAATTTTTTATTATTTCCTGACCATTGAACAATTAGGTTTGTTTATAATGCCTTTGTTATATTTATCCACATGTTTGATAATTCTCTTTGACAAATGGATGCAAATGTGAAGGCTATGAAAACCCAAAGCACTGACACTGAAAAAAATGTGTTGAGACAAAAGAAATTGGAAAAGCTAAAAGCAACACTGAACAAATGTTAACAGGTTTTGGGAAACACTGCATTCGGCAGGAATTTCAATGCAGAACATGCCAAAACCTTAACTGTCCTAGTGCACCTGGTGAATTTAACTCTCAGAGGGGAAGAGTAGGAGGCATTTACAAGACTCAGCTGAGCAATGTGAGGGTTGGTGATCCAGGGACCCTGTGGGAAACATGGCCTTTCCTCACCGCTGGGCCAAGCTCACTGTACCCGTGACTGTTCCCACCTATATGCCCTCCTCCACACTGCAGGCCTGCCTGCCTTTTTTCCCCATCAACTCAGTCCTCTCTCTGACTTGGGATGATCCAAGGATTCCTCATGCCCTCCACAGACATGCACAGCATACCATCACACTACACTGCCTGTCCTTAGGGCTTCCAAATCCCATTGGTGCCACATTCCAGACAGCAGCTCTGCTTTTTCTGAGCTTGCTTCATCAGCCCATTTGTTTGTAAGCACCTAAAGCTAGAACTATGCCTTTGGTACCTTGGCAACTTCATCCACAATGCACCGTCCCCTTGTACCACGCATGTAAGCTTCGAGACGATGGAGACACAGAGGAGCAACTACTTAAATAACAGTATTTTGACATCTAATACACAGAGTATCGACCCAGATCAAGCCTGAGCATCACCTGCTTACTCAGCTCTCCTACACTTCTCAACAAACCCATGTCTGGAATATCTGGGAGTGTCAGTCTTCCCCCTTCTGCTTCATTCATCCAAGGGGATGAAAAGCAAAAGTGAGACTAGAGAAAAGCGAGCATGTCCAAATGATGGAGATGAACAAAAATGTCCTGAGCCCAAAACAAGGGCCTTTGGAGCAGGTGAGCATAATTGAGTGTACGGGCTCAGGTGTCAGGAAACTGGAATTCAAATTGTAGCGTTATGACCTGGTCTAGGGCTTACAACCTAAGAAATGGCGGGTTTTGATATTTGGCATCTCTGTAGACCTTACTGTCCTTTCTTCGAAATGGATGTACAAACACCTACCTTCTATGTTGCCGTGAGGGTTAAATGAGATAACGTGCACAGAAAGCCTGGCATAGTACCTGGCATCAAGCTTTTTAAAAATGTTAGTTGTTAATATTTTGATTAGCACCATCATCATCCCAAAGTTGTTACCACCGAGCTAACCTCCACCAGCTCAGACTTACTCGTTCCCATCAACAGACCCCTCCTCACGACTGGTCCCTCATGTCTTTCTTTTCCTCCTCTCAGCTCAACTTCTTGCCTGCTCCAAACTCTGGCTGGTTTAGACTCAATAACGCCCATAGGAGAGCCCTCCAGGAAGACCCTGTTACCTCGTCCAGGCTGTTCTGCTGGCAGGGGAAGGAGAAGGTGAAGCCCAGAGGCAGAGACACGCCCTTCATGCCCATGTACTCGAGGAAGTCGGCAATGCACTGGACAATGTGGTCAAAGAGCTGCAGGGAGAAGGTGAACTCTAAGGGAGAGGGACCCGGCCAGGGCAGGCTGCCCCCAGCACGGCCTGAGCACGAGTGAAGCCTCCACCCAGGAGATATGCAAAGTCAGGTGCAATCCTGAGTAAGGCCAGCCTGGGGTCCTGGCCCACCTAGCCCTCCCTGGGACCACGGGTGAGCAGAGAAAGCACTGTCCTCCCAGGCAAAAAGTGGGTGTCTACTGGGGTCCCCTCCCAGAGGGGCCTCCCTGCCTCACCTCGTCCCCTGTGCCATGCATGACCTCCTGCGGGATGGAGTAGATCTTGTTGTGCATCTCCACTCCACGCCGCTTCCCGTTCCGCACACGCACCAGCAGGACCCGGAAATTGGTACCCCCGAGATCCAAAGCCAGGAAGTCACCTTTCTCTGGAAAATAAACCCAGGAAGACGATGAGTGGAGACATTACCACATCACCACAGCAGAGAGTGACAAGGTCTGAAGCACCTTCCCCTAACGGAGAGCTCTCCCAGAGGCCCCTCGACAACCTCAGGGGGTGAGGGACTGTGAGCTCTACCTAACAGAGAAATAAGACCCCAAAACCAGAGGTCTGCTGTCTCCTTAGTGGTTCTCAAATGCATTCAAGTGGCAAAGGCCCCAGAAGTCACAATGAACTCTGCGGAACAAGGGACGGGTGACACAGTGCATTCAAAAATATCAAAACATGCCATTTGCGCTAAATCGAAGGCCACCCCGTGTTAGGTTCTAGAATAGAGAAGGAACGGCAGAGTCAAGCACTCGCCTTTCCTGGGCAATCTCCACGTGCTTCCTGCCATACCCATTGCTCATGCAGCCCTCAGGCAGCCCAGAGAGGGAGGCATTGCATTCCCCTCTGATGAGGCAGCAAGACTCCACTGAGCCAGGTTGAGTCACGTGCCCAGGCCGTACAGCCAGAAGAAGGAAGAACAGGGACCAAGTCGCAGTCTCTACCTGTGGAGCCTATACCAGTTGTGCTCCACTGGCCTGCTCAATGATCGTCTTTTATGAATTGGGGAAAAACTGCCATTTCTTAGATTGTGAGACCAGGGGTCAGCAATATTTTTCTGTAAAAACTGGGCAGTAAACATGGTAGGCCCTGGGAGCCATAGTCTCTGCTATAACCACACAGCTTTGCCACGGTAACGTGAAGCAGCCATAAACAGTTCATAGATAAATGGGCATGGCTGTGTACTAATAAAACTTTATGTACAAAACTAGATGGTGGGCCAGATTTAGTCCGTAGGCCTTAGTGTGCCAACCCCTAACCTAGGGCTTACAAGAGCTGGCCCTGGAACCCAAATTCCTGGGTTTGAATCCTGCCGTTTTCTAGCTGTGCGAACTTGGGCAGGTTTCTTCATTTCTGCGCCTCAGTTTTGTGCCAACCATAAGTTTGTTAATAAACAAAATTCACAATGAACCTCTATGAACACGTAAGGATTAAATAAGTTGATATGTGTTGAATGCTTAGAGAAGTGCTTAACACATAGTAAGCATTTTGTAAGTATTTACTATTATTACTGTTCGAATTTTAGCAGAGGAAGCCTTGGTTGAGCTTACTGAACACTAGAATTTCCTAGTACAGACAGTCCCTGACTTAATGATGGTTTGACTTAACGATTTTTTTTTTCAATTTTACAATGGTATAAAAGCAAAACGCAGTCAATAGAAACTGTACTTTGAATTTTGGTCTTTTCCTGAGCTAGCGATATGAGGTACGATACTCTCGTGATGCTGGGCACCTGCCATGAGCCTCAGCCCCCAGTCAGCTACTCAATCATGAGGGTAAACAGCTAGTGCTATACAGAGTATTCATGGTGAGATGAATTTGCCTGACTATAGGCTAATGTAAATGTTCTAAGCATGTTTAAGGTAGACTCAGCTAAGACGTTTGGTAGTTTGGGCATATTAAATGCATTTTTGACATATGATGTTTTCAACTTACTACGGGTTTTTGTTGGATGTAGCCCTATCGTAAGTCGAGGAGCACCTGTACTATATAGTTGGTGAAACATGTTCTGTTCCAAACATCCAATGCTAAGGCTAAGCAGTCCTCCCAGAGTATCAACACCAGGACAAAGGCCCACCATGGTGAGCTGGGCAGCAGCCCTGCCACGTACCTGTGCCATCAGGGGTGGCACGCACATAGGTGGGCAGCATCTTGATGGGGGCAGCAGCGTGAGTCTCCTTGCTCAGACCTCGTTCCATTTCTACTTTCATCCTCCTCTTAACCTCCAGCAGCTGCTCGTGGCTCAGCTTCAGAGGTTCCAGGATCTTCTGGCGTGCTCGGTGTTGGTCAGCCAGCCGGTAGGCCACTGCTGTCACCATGGCTGCCCCCTTGCCACTGCCATCCTCAGAGCGGAGAAAGCGGACATCGCAGTCGGGCACCAGGCGCCGCACAGTCTTGTGAAGACGCGTGGCGAAGCTGCAGTCACAGAGATGGGGTAAGAGATGGGTGTGCACAGCTAGGGTCAGTGGTACTAATGTTTGGGGTGGTAGCTCACCGCCTCAGCCCATAATACCAGGAGGCACCTGCAGAAGCAGATGCTGCCCTGAACATCTTCTCCCCACTCTTTTCCAAGTTAGGGGTCACTGTACAAAAGTTCAGATATTCAACTGTGGACACCCTGGCTGGGTCCAACGCCTGCTGAAAGGAAAGGACCTTTCTAGGGAGCCACTGTTCCCTGCAGGCAGTCACACAGGCCACAGCTCTTCTGCCCAGTATATCAGCCTCTTTGCTGGAGCAGTCCAACGGAATCAGATGAGTCTGACCCCAACTGCTCTTCATGTTTCACCACCCATTTCATTAGACGCTGCCTGGGAAAGGCCCAAAACAGAAACAGTAGAAACGTTCTTCTGGACTTTGGCCTCTCTTTAGCTAATTTCTGCCAATAATCCTAACAATATCTGAACAGCTAAAGCAACAGATGTGTTCAGCCAGAAATTCTCGGGTGGTGGCTGCTTGGAGCCATGTCTCCAGGGCCCTCTATGCTAAGTGTGGTCTGTGGTCCTGCGGCGTGGCTGGAGGCTGTTAGAGATTCAGGACCTCAGGCTGAATCCAGACCTTCTGACTCGGTATGGGCCTCTTACCCAGATCCCCAGGTGATTCGTGTGCACTTGAAAGCTTTTGAAGCACAGGAGACCTGGGAGGATAGAGCTGAGACCTTTGGCATCCCCAATGCGGCCAGTGAAGGCCCACTGACCTGGCACTCATATTAGGTGAACATGATGGGATAAGTGGGCACAGAGACAGATATCTTCCAGGTCCCAACTGAAATGTGCATATTTTGGCACTTATGACCTGATGGATCCAAACATGGAGGGCAGGGCAGGGTCAGTTCATACCCAGGTCAGCCCAAGAGGCAGGTAATGCACTAGGCCGGGGTGGCCCCTGGCAGAGGACACAACACTGATGGGACCATCAAGAATCATGCAAGTCAAAGAAATAAGTTAGAAAGAAACACCAACTCCTGAACAAGAGGGTGGCATACAGAGCCCCTAGTAGCCAGAAGAGCTCTGAGTAGAGTCCTCCCACCTGACCCCTGTCATCCACAGCCTTCAGAAATCACCTCCACCCATGCCAAGGACAACACTCTCTCAGCTCCCACTTGCCCCACTAAGAACTTTTATTCTACAAAAACCCTCAACTCCATGGTCCATCTCCACCGGCCCAGATTGCAAATGGAGTTGGTCCGTGGAGTCACTGGGGTCTCCCTCGAGCCTGTCGGGTCCCCAAGTGCTCTGGGAGCCCCGTATCTCTGGGTCCCAGAACGCAAACTCACTGGGGGTGTTTCTTGTAGACGGAGCCGTCGACCCCAACGGTGGAGCGCAGCCGCTCCCCGCCCTTGTTCTCCTTGATACGCCGCAGCACGGCTGCCAGGGTGGCCCCGCACAGGTTGGCTGAGCGTGTGGACACGATCTGGCAGATGCGGTGAGTGGCCACGCAGTCCTCCTCTGTCGGGTCCATGCCCAGCCGCACCAGGATCTCGCGGGCCTTCCGGATGCCATCCTTCTCACTGGGAAATGGAGAAACAGCATGTGGGGACATGTCCAACCCACTGTGGCCAGTGGGAGGGCTGTGTGGGCTGACACGGACACCCCTCAGTTCCAGCAAACACCATCTCACAGTAAGGGCAGACACTCACCTCACTGCTCTGCCCACTGATGGTGGGTTGACCAAGGAGGGGGAAACACAACCTAAGCTCCTCTCCCAGACACACACACACACACACACACACACACACACACACACACACACACACACACACACACACGGCTACAGGTGCCTCTCTTTCCCAATGAGAAAAACTAGTATTTCTTACGCACATACTATATAAGAACAAGGCCCTGTTCTCAGAGCTTCACCGAGTTATATGTGTGAGTTTGTACTATTTGCTGGTGTCTTGGGATAGAGGGAATGGTGTCTCTGCCACCCACCACCTCCGACCTTGTGAGCCCAGCTGTGCAGCCCACCCTATTTCTCTCTATAAAGCAGTCAGAGTCTATTGCATTTCACAACGGAGTGGGCACTGCTTTAACTCGTGCTAACAACTGTGAGGAAGGGCTGGTGCTATGAGACTAGCACCCTTCTTAGGGGAACTAAGTGCCTCACACATCTGAATACTTTCATCCTCTCAGGGTTTAACAAGTAGATACAGTTCCTTCAAAAGAGTTTCCACTTCAATTTGTTTGAACTGTTTCACTGCTCCCTTTAGCACCCAAATCACCTCCTTTCCACCACCTGGTCACCTAAAACAATAGGGTCTCCTCAAGCCACAAGTGGAAGTCTCAAGAACAGGAAACAAGGCCCAAGTCTGGATAATTTTAACTGAAAAACAAAGATTAGGCCATTTTCACTCCCACCCCTGCCGCTCTGTGAAAATGCAGGCCTCGGCTCTACCTACTGGAACAAAATGAGTAAATCTCAGAACCGTCCAAGGACCTATGTTTCTGTTAAGAAGTAGGGGTCAGAATGGAGCCCTTTGTGAGAATCACCAATAGAGAATGAAATGTCAGAGTTTCAGGAGAAGGGAAAGGAAATAGATGCAAATAAGTCACTAAGGGGCCCACCGGGAGCTTCCAGCATTAAGTCAAGCCCCTGCCCATGCCAGGCAGAAATGCAAGTGCGACATCCCTGCCTATGGGACTTAGTCACTCCCAGCACCAAGAGTTACTTTGGTAGTCGGCACATTCAAAATGGTCAAGAGTGGAGACTATCTGGTAAGGAACGTCCAGCCATAGGCCCACCAGGGCCATGTTGGGTGACACCCTCTTGCTGTCCACATTTGAAAGGTCAAGGGCCAGTGCCTCTTCCTCATTCCCCAACTGCCTGTCCACACTTCAATGAACAGAGAAGGACCCCAAAGCTTACCTTTCAATATCCGAAACGTCTTTGGTCTCAAAGCGGCCCGTGGCGAGGAGTTCGGGGCTGAGTTTCCCCCTGAAAAGCAGCTCCTCCTTGGCCATCTTGACCAGGATAAGCCTCACCAGTTCCCCCATGTACATCCCACTGATCATCTTCTCAAATCTGCAGGGACACAGACCAGAAAAACAAATAAGGAAACTGCTGCCCTTAAACTCACCACTTCCCTGTGGAGGCAACATGCACACACATGAAACTCCAGTAAATGTTAGAGGCTGATGCACAATGAAGGGTTAACTTGTGTGGCATGGACTAGGGACAAGATGTGAAAGAAGTGACAGCTCAGGGCAGAGTAGGGGGGCTGGAGGAGCTGGGGGGGCTTGGGCTGCCTCTCCAAGCAGGTGGACCTTGAACTATAGGGAAGGATGGGCCTTTAGCAGGCAATCTAAACATCCAGGGAGGGTGGGAACAGTGTGAAGTTTAGGTAAGGTAAGTTATGTGTATAGTAGTTGAGTTTTAATTTTTTTTTTCTCTAGCAAGGATGCAATTTAAAAAAAAAAAAAAAGAAGCCTTATGTACAACCTCAATATTTATTTACAAGAGAAAAAGGTCAATGTGATTAAACGTGGGGGTTTGCAGGCCCAGCAACTCATCACTTCACATTGCCCCTCCCCCTTTGCAGGCCTTGGTGGATTCCTAACAAAAGTGTAAACACAATGGGGGCTGGGCAAGAGGAAGGGGAGGTGATGAAGCAAGATTAGAAGGACAGGTTGGGACAATTGAGAAGGAGCTCTAAATGCCACATGGTCTCAGGAATCTGGGAGTAAGACTTGCTAGAAGTTTCTGAGCAGGCAGGTGATAAGATAAAGGCATGTTTGAGTACAACAGAGACTGGCCCCATGCGGAGGGCAGTCGAGTAATTTATTTTTTCAACACTAGGTGGCACTGTTTTCTCTAGAAGACGGCCTGTCTGACTCAAGACTACGTGACAGGAGAAACCAAGCTTTTACAATTCTTTTTGGCAAAGAAGGCCCTTTCTTGGTATCTGAGAAAGTATCTGGGTCCTTAGGAAGAGGAGGCCCCCAGGGCCTGTGGGTACTAACTAGGCCAGACTTCAGAGAGGAGGCCCCGGGCAGGGTGGGGAAGGGACTCGGATGTCACCTCATGCATCTACAGGAGAGGAAGCTGGCCCCGCAGGAAGTGACTTGCTCAAGACCCAAGGTCAGGTATGGCAGAACCGGAGCTAAGTGGGGAGCTGGCAAAACTGCTTGAGCATTTAAAATGCTTTTAAATGTTTAAGTGCCAGCACAGACAACTGCCTGGAAGGCCAACCGGCTTCAATAGCAAGGAGCTCACGTGTCTGCTTCTGCAGCTGTCTCTGAAATGGGTGATAGTATAGGAGGTGAGGGAGAGGCCCACAGGGGGCTCTGAAGGGCAGGCGGGGTTTTTTTAGATTGTATTCCAGGTTTTTAAAACACTTTGTTTCCATCAACGTTTGGAAAATATTTATGTAGAAACAAATAAAGAGTGAAAACAAATTCCTACTCAAGCCCAAAAATGACTTCAGGGCCACCACAGCTGACACTGGTGTATGTCCTCCCAGCCTTTGATTTGACTAAGGTTAAGCCAGTGGTGGGTTGCCAAGGCCGGGTTGGCAATTCTGTCTTCTGACACTTCAAAGGGCATGTGGCTCCTTGGAATGGCGTGGGTGCGCCTCGTTGATGGAGGCAGGCGTTGAGTGAGTGACTTTTCAGTTCATAAATTCCTCACCAGCCGTGACAGACATAGACAGTATGTTCCTATGAAAGTGACAAGTCAATGGACTCTCGTTTCAACATGTGAAAGAAGCTTGTGACTTAAAATAAGCCATGCTTCGTTGAGGAAGCAAGGACTCGACCTGTAAAGAAAAAGGCCCCCATTGCTGAGCTGGTCTGTAAGGTTGGATTGGATTTTCCTCTCCAAGCAGAGATCTGCGCAACAAGCTTTCCTGCAACAGTCCCAGCAACAAGAAGACCAGAGAGGGCCTGAATTGCTCAAAACATTTTGCAATTGCCTTCAAAGCTTGCAAAAATCCCTGTTTCAATATCTTTAAGGGACATTTGGCAAGTGTTTGTGAGAATGAAATAATGTTTTGTAAGAATCAAAAGTAACTAAACACCAAGTCTGGCCAGGCTGGAGAGTATAACATTCAGGGTTCAAATGTTGGAGTCCTTCCTGCAGTTTAGCCCAGGACCCCGGCTGGGCCACAGGTCCAGGGAAGGCAGCCAAGGAGGCACCCAAGGAGGCACCTTAGCCAACTTTTCCACAGCCCCTGGGTCTGCATACAGCTGGGGCGGGAGGCCCTGGGACTCCATGGGGTTCAGCCTAGCTCACAGGCAACTCTGCCAGAGGTCTGAGTCAGAGCCTCAGCCAGAAATTAAGAGCCATCTGTCACAGCCTCATCATCCTCTGGGCAGTGACAGGGGTGGGAGCTAAGAAAGGAGCTTTCAGAGACCTGAATCTTGGCCATCTCAACACTTTTCTATGTGGCTCACAAACTGTTTCTAAAGACAACTTACAAATTGAAGGCGGAAAGAATGAGCAGGGTGACACACTTAAACTCAGAATATGACCTTCTAAAGCTACTGAAGGACATAGCCCAATCATTACCTACTACCTGGTGTGTCCGCTTGCCCTAGCTTTTTTAGAGCCCTCTCAGAAACTTGTAGTCACAATGTGTGTAATGAGCACAAATTCCCATAACCAGTGGGCACCTTGGCAACCTTTGGGGTATATGTGACTATAAAGCAAAAATGAGAACCGCCACCCAGCCCTGGCCAGCCCCCACCTCAACTCCTGAGCCCACTCCCCAAGCCCACTGCTCACAGTTGCTTCCCAGGGTTCAGGGAGCCCATGTCGATCTCCTGGTCAAACTCAGTGCGGATGTCGTCGAGCACACCGTCATCTCCAAACGCCCCCCACTCCATGTTGATGCACATCCGGCCCTCGTCGCCCTCCACCAGGTCAATGTGGCGCATCTCTTCCATGTAGCAGGCGTTGCTGCCCGTGCCTGGCAGGAACAAGGGACTGCTCAGTGCCCACCCACGCCTTCCTCTCCCCAGCCCCCATCTCCGTCTTGCCCCACCATCCTGAGACTGCCCAGGGTGGCTGGGCTTCCTCAGAGCAGGCTCTTGGGGCATCCCAACATGGCCTGTTCCAGTAACACCCACAACTCCACAAGTCCTGGCTCAGCCCTCCAAAGTGACCACACCATTATCTTCCAATACGAAGTACAAAAGAACAACCATGCCACAGACCCCTCCTGCCTTTCCAGCCTACACCCCCAACCAGTGGTCAGCACCGGCCCTCAGTGTTCACGTACCCACAATGAGACCAATCTCGCAGTTCTGGTCATCATAACCACAGGTCATCATGGTCCCAACTGTGTCATTTACCACAGCCACAATGTCGATATCAAAGTCCTGCAGGGATAAAAGGGGGGTTCTGACCTTCACCGTCACAGAAAGGGCATAGATGTGATGATGGAAAGAAAGAGCAGCAAGACACATAGCTCAAGAGTAACAGGGCTGCCCCTGACTAACCCTACTCACAACCAAAGAAGGTTAGAACTGGAAACCGGGTCCAGATCCAATCTAACAGCCGCATCTCACTCCCCACCCTGCTTGTCCTCATCATGGAGGACTTGCCTGACACCAGCCCTGCAGTCTAGTTTACAGCCGCCACCAATCTAAGAAGAATGTGTCTTGTCATCATTGTCATATTCTGCTTCTCTTCTTTTCTCTCTCCCCCTCCTTTCCTCCCTCCCAGAAGGTCTTATCCTTCTGTGACCTTTATCTTGTCCTCTCTGCACCCCATCCCACCCTAATGCCAACATCATCCCAACTTCCTTACTTGGAAATTGTTTTCAAGTCTTCTTCAGTGTAACAACTAAAGGGTTTTTCTTGCACCAAGGCTAAGACTATTTATCCATGATGATAATCCGAGACCCAAAGGCATCTGATCATTTATAAGATTATTGGTGTGGTACTCATATTACAATATATGTGTGGCAAATCATTAGGTGCTACATCTTAAACTGATTCAGAGCTATATGTCAATTGTATCTCAATAAAACAGGAAAAAATTAAAAATACATTATTGGGTAAACAAAGCAGGGAAGAAGAAAAGAAAACCTTGCCTTAAGAAGCACAAAAGGGCTTCATGCTGATTTGAGGACAGGCTGGAGAAGACTTCAGAGTGGACCCAAAAGAGCCCCCAGACCCCCAGCTCCTCCCTCCCCATCAGGGCCACCCCTACTCACTCCTCTCCTCTGGATTGCCTTCCGGATCAGAGTAACCACATCTTTGCCTTCCACACCACTGGACTTGAACCCCTTGGTCCATGAGACCAGGAAACTCTGGAAGAGGACCAAGGATTGAACATTAATTCCTCACAAAACTCAGACCACACTTCTCAAACAACCATTAGTGGAGCCCTCTGCCATGGGGTTAAATTAAACTAAAGCCATGCTTGAATGTATATATTGCTTCCTAACTAGCCTAGGAAGGAGAAGTCTGGACCCCATCAGAGGTCCAGAAAGGAGATTAAATAATGATTCCTTCATGATCTACTGCCCCCAAGAAGTGGAAAGGGCACGGTATAGAACTGCCAAAATAAGAGACTTGTATCCTCTCATCATAACTCCCCACACATCTTTCTTCCAAAGATCTTTATCACAATACTTTAGATCAAAGGAGATCAGGCTAATTTCTCACTCCTGTTTCCCTAAGAGGAATAAAGATAAGGTGCAATATATGTGGGGTTGCGCACTGTATTTGAGGGGCAGGAGATAATGACCCCCTCTTCTCTGACATTTCTTCACCATCCCCCCACCCCTACACACACTCACCCAGAAGGACAGAACTCCCAATATTCAAAGCTGGTCCACACACCCGTCAGAGCCACCTCCGCCACCACGGCAGCAGGTGACGCAGACTTCTCCCTCATCCTCCCAGCCCAAAGAACGAAACAACAAAAGAGTCTGAAGAACTCATCTTACCTCGTCCAGTTTCGTTTGGATGCAGGGGAACGAGAAGGTAAAGCCCAAGGGAAGCTTCTTGTCTTTGATTTGTAGCTTATCCATGAAGTTAGCCAGGCATTCGGCAATGTGGTCAAACAGCTAAGGGCACAGAACGCAGGAATATGAGCAGGGAAACAGAATAGCACAACAATTAAGAGCATGAACTTTGGGCTCAGAAAGGAACTAGCTGAATACATGCAAGATATGTATGCCTTGTGAAGTCTTAATTTGCTCAGTCTGTAAAAGGGGGATGATAATTGTACCTGACTTCCGAGTTACTAAAAGGATTAAATGAGTCAATACATAGAAGGACTTAACACTAGTTAGCGCTTATTAAATACTGTCTTCCACATAAGCCATTTATCCACACCACTGTCAAAATAACCCCCAGGAGGCCGGCGAAATCATAGCCAAAGCTAATAAGAAAGTCACTGCATGCCCTGGGAACAGAACATCCTTTGGTGGCCTTGTCAGAACCCCCCTTGACATTGATACACAGCTGAATGTCTTACCAGGGGGGAAGCCCATCTCACTGCCAAGTATTTTAGCATCCCTGTCTCTTGTGATTGGGGGAGTCGGTAGGACATTCTCTGTTGGCATTCTATGAAGGGACTTAACAAAAATATGTAACTTTTATATTTTTCTTCCGTTCTAGAAAATTTAATTTCCTGGGGGCAATTCAAAAAGGTATCTTTGTTTTCTAACTTCAAAATGGAACACCCAGAGAGTCCATGAAGAGCACAGAAGAATAAATAGCCTCACAACCACAACCACGCTAAGCAGGATCCACAGCACCTAGGAAAAGTCCTAAGTCTAAGAAAAAGCTGTATTCACAATCACCCAGGCTTTCAATCAGTCCCACAGCCCACAGTCCTATGGCTTCCTTCTTGCACACTCAGCATCCTCAAAAAGAAGTTGGTGACCCCTCCGGAAGTTTAGAGGCCAAGGCCAGGGGGCATTCTGGTGCAAAAAAGTAAGCAGAGGCCAGAGACTGAGCAAATTCCAAGGGCCAGGTTGATCAGATGGCAAAATCTAAAAGCCAAGCATTCCAGGCAGAAGCAAGGACGATTCCACTAAACAAGGGGTTCCCAAATTGTGGTCCTGGACCGGCAGTATCACCACTATCGCGTTATAAATGCAAATTCTAGGGCCCAAACCCAAACCTACTGAATCAGGAACTGTGGGGGTGGGGCACCCCAGGTGATCCTGAAGCAGTGGTTTAGAGAACCACTGCACTAAACCACAAAAAGTATTTGCATTTACAAAGGAACTGAGGTTGGGGGTGGCAGGCTAGGTTGAGAGGCCCAGTGGCTCCCCAGATGCCTGTGATATGCTCAGTGGGAGGCATCCAGGAAGACAAGGCCACCACCACCTAGAAGGGAGCCAGCTCTAACTGAACTTTCTGCATTGGCCCTGTCCAATCTGTCTGATCGCTTGCGAAAGTCACCCCAGCTGATACTGAAACTCTCAGTCTCTAAACCAAAACAATCTCAAAAGCAAAGGATGAGCAAAGACAGCGCCCTCTCACGAAGAGAATCACCCTTAAACACAGGTCAAGTGTGTTCATATGTAAATAGAGTTTCTAGATAGATATTCAAAAATTCTGTTCTTCTGCTGGGAAGTGACTCAGAGACAAAACTTACAATATGATTCAACAAATTCCCAGCACCTTCTTTCTGGTACTGTAGTCCAAAATGATCTTTAATACACACTGTCTTTGTTTTTTTAAAAAAAAGGAAGTTATAGAAGCTTTGCAAAGAGATAAGGCCAATCATCAGAGATGGGAGAAGGGAGCGGCTTTAGAAGGGGTAAAAGCAAAATGGTTTCTCCTCACCCAGCTCTGACCTCTGCTTCTTTTCCAACTGCACTGCCAACAAGGGGAGGCAGAAAAAACAGGCAGCGAAGAGGCACTAAACCACATGCTGCCTAATACAATAGCCACTAACCATCTGTGGGTATTTCAATTAATCAGAATTTTAAAAAATTAAAAATTCACTTCCTCGGTCACGCTAGCCACATTTCAAGTGCTCAATGCCACAGGTGGCTCGTGGCTACCATATCACACAAGGCAGATAAAGAACAGTTCTCCCATCATTGTGAAAAGTTCTGTTGGACAGTGCTGGGTTAAAAGAACCTAGACCTCTTGAAAGTGGGGAAGAGGAGACGGTCTGCTTCCTTAATTAGAAGACTGTCTCCTTTTCTGTTAGCTGATGATGTAAAGGTAAGATGCTGGGAGAAAGAGCTAACATGTTCCTGCCATAAAAAGGCTCAAAGGGCATCATCTTATGACGTTAGAAAGGATTCCTTTTCCTTATAGGTCTGAGAACCTGCTCAATTCCCTTCCCATAAGATACACTTTAAAAATCTAAAGTGGCTGCTATTACGATTTGTAATTCACTGCTCTTAAGTGGAAATTCATGCACTAGAAGACAGGTTTTACTCAGGGACCCACACTGCCCAGGTTCACAGATCTTCAAAAACCTTTGCAAGTTTTGGGTTTGGTGATTTCATCTTGGTTTTAACTAAATTTTATTTTTCAAATCCATTTGTTTTCCTCCAATTAAAAGACTGATACCTAAAATATAGAGAAAAGGGTACCAGTAATTCCATCACTGTGAACTTCCATCCAGCCTTTTTACCACGTTGTTTTCTGCTGCTTTTAAGATGTGTAGTATTATTTCCCTTCCATAGGGTAAAACAAAACATGTATGTTTTCTTTATGTTTTATTTTTATGTAGCATTTTTCCATGTATTCAAAACCTTTTAAATATCACAAAAGTTTCTTTTCCAGGTGGGTCTCATAGATTTTTTTTTTAATTTAGATTAAAACATTTTGATTCTGTATGTTGGAGCTAGTGATAACCTCAGTAGAGCTAAAATGCCATAGTCCCAGGGATTCACCGCCCTTCTCCAGTCCTAACATTAAAAAAAGGAAAACAGGTTTACTCTCAGGCTGCCCCCAAAGACATATAAAGGGTCTAAAACTATCTCCCCCACAACTACACATGGCCCACAATTCCTTTCCCAGAAGGTGGCCTGATGATGTGGGAAGAACCATGCACTAGGAGTGAGACGGCTCCACCTCTTCCAAGCCCTGGGGCCCAAGAGGTAACCATGTCTTACATGGAGATTTCAACTCTTCCATTCACTTTTACCGAGCACATGTTGGGCATAAAATACAGCGGGAATAGCCAGCATTCAAGCTGAGACTGATCCCTATAGCTGTGCCAGCCAGGATCCAGGAATGTCTTCAGTGATTCCTATCCATGGACTGAGAGCAGCTGGAGAAGGAGCAGAAAGAATGTCCCAAGGAAAGTTTTTGTACAGCAGATGAAAGGGGGTAGATATCAGCTTCCCTGAACACCTGAAGGCAAAGAATAATGGCTGGACCTGTGGCTGTCAAGCACTAATCAGCCAGATACTTCTGGTGTGGTGGCAATAAGTGTCCCCCCTGTAGGAAGGCTCTCCTGGGGGAACTGTTGAGAGGGAGGGCCCCTCAAAGGGCCTGCCCCACAAAATCACATGTCTGCAGGAACACCAGCCTCTTTGGGGAGTACCTCCTACTCTGCAAGCAGAGGCAGATAGCTGAGACCCAGGACCACCATGTTGCCTAATTCCAGGGAGCACCACTCACGTGGACCACATCACTTGACTACAAAGTAGATGGAGCCCCACAGAGTTGTACAAACACAGGCTCTAGTCATATGGACCTGGCTTTGTGTCTTGCCTCTGGCCCCTCCAACCCCTGTGTTCTGAGGCCAAGACACTCAGACTCAGTCTTTCAAAGCCCAATCCCACATCTATAAAGTGGAGATAACAGGAGCACCCAGCCTCGCAGGGCTCATATAAGGATAAAACAAGACAATCCATAAAAGTGCTTTCGCTCAGCCTGACACACAATAGGTCAACATGTATTAGCTCCTCCTCCAGATGGTTACTCATTCCTTTCAACACATTACTCTTTTCTAAGGGAGACGTGTCCTGGTGGCCTAGCTGGGCTTTAAGCTCTGGAGCGGAAGGAGCAGCACTTTTGATTCCCAGTGAGGATCAGTGCCCATTGCATAATAGGTGCTCAATAAATGTTTAGAGACTGTCTCGATGGCAATTCCACCCTTGCTCAGTTTTTTCTATTACTGAGAGGATTCTTACTTGGATTTCCCATTTCTTCTCCATCCACTCCTTTTATTGTTTAGATTCTGAGCACAAAGCATAACTCTAGAAGCCACTGAGATATGGGGATGACTAAGCATAAGTTAGAGCCAATGTGGAAGCTACAGTGCCCGCTGGGACACATACCCCAAAGCTAGATTTTGGTGTCTTCTCAACAGGTTCTTGTCCCTGTGCAAAACCTCTTCTGTTTTAGAAGGTCAAGAAGAGGGAAAATAAATAACCACAAAGGCAAAGAGGAAGGTTCCATTTTCATGCGATGGATAACAACTGTGAGTCAAAAGGGGCTGAAGGGTGACCACAGTGGCAGGTGGCAGTGTCAAACCACAATCATGTATTCCACTAACTCGCCATTCAACAGTATCACTAACAACTGGATGTCCAGAAGTATGGGCCCAGTCTCCCAACCATGAGCTTTCCTCAATAACCAGCATGTACAAGCAGTCCTCAAAAGAGAGGGCAAATGAAAACATCCCCCACTGCAGCACATCCAGACCCCTGGGCCTCACGCACAGCACGTGCTCCCTGCTCTCCAGCCCATGAGCTCCCCTCCTGATGGAGGCCCCCCCACACCCAGCTTCAGGCATGGAGGGGATCACCAGGCAGAGAGAGGCCAGGAAATGCAAGCCTCAGTCAGGGTCTCCTCCCTCCAGACCACAGAGGAGGGGCTCCTGTGGGGCCCAGTGTCCCCGTGGCCACCCTGAGAGAAGGGTCAGACCTGCGTGCCACTGCCTCGCATGATGTCCTCGGGGATGGCGTAGATCTGGTTCTCCATCTCGACCTTCTGGAGCCCATTGTCCGTTACTGTCACCCGAAGCACACGGAAATTGGTCCCTCCAAGGTCCAAAGCCAGGAACTCGCCATGTTCTGCAGACAGGAAGGGCCACTATTATTTCGGAAAAGACAAGATCAAACTGCTTCACAGATCAACACTTAAAGCTCATAAACACTGCCATAAATACTGAATTCTTAAAACCCGTTGAATCTTTAAAACCCATGAGACCATAAATACTGATCTTCTCTGGTGATGGGGTGACCAGTGCATCTTAATTTCTTCTACAGACATTTATGTATTGTCTGGTTCTTTTTCTTAATGCTAAGCACTTTTATATTACTTTTAGAATTCACATAAATAATGAGTTTCACATGGAATGATGGGGTGCCCCACCCCCCTCACAGAGCTGACTGTTTCCCAGGGGCTCTTAGCCAAGTCCCCACCGAGCTCATGGGGCCCATCAAGCCCTGTGCCAGGAGTCTATGCCTCTGTTTTGTTCTTCATGCCCCCAGGACACCCAACACGCTGCTACAGGCCTGTGGGACCCTAGGCCTCCTGCCAAATTGGGATCCCAGTACAAAATTTACTTTTAATGTTCACAAACAGTGATAGCAATGTCCTATGGCAGGATGAGGGGGTCGCATGATGGAGTGGATGGGGGTCCAAATGGCTATAAATTAAGAGCAAATAAGCTAAGCAGGTGCCCCTGAAAAGGTCCCCGGCTTATTCAAATGTGAGAGAATGCTGACCCAACAGTATGTAAGACAAGAGTCAGGCCACTCACAGTTCCACTCAGGCAAGGCACAGAGCCAGGGAAGAGAGGGGAGAAGGAAACTCCACTCACACAAACAGGTCAAGATTTTCAGTGTCACCAGGAAGGCAAAGTCGCTTCCATCCAGGAAGCAAGCAATGCAGACAGAAAACACAGTAACACAGCTGGCTGCACATGAAAGTGCTAAAAGGTGCAGAGGCCAGAGCCAGGGCTTAGGAAGCAGGTGGGCTTCACCCCCTTGGCAGCCTCCTCAACCAGTAATGGCTCCACCCACCAGTCTCTCACCGCCCTGCCACACGCCTTCTCGAAGGATACAGGGTTATTTCCTGGGGGATTCACTTACTGGCATGCTTGTCATCATTCAGCCCTTTTCCTGATGGGAGACTGCCAATGACGTAAGGCGGAATGGATTGGAGGGTCAGGGGAAATGCTCTAACTAAATGAACCATCAAGGGTTTATTCTGTACCTCAGCAGCTCTCATGCTCAGGCCCTGAGGAAAGCCATGTCTGCCGGTCCCCGAGGACACTACCCACAGCCCCTACAGTCCAGAGGGGCAACTTGGGGCGACATCACCCACCTGAGATTCCATGGGGACTTGCCACCACACAACCATGGGCTGGTGGTGGCTCGATACACAGAAACTGGCTCTGGAGCCCATGTTACCTGTCAGAACTCTGGCCACTTCTTGGCTGTGGCAAGTTCCTGAGCCTCTGAGCCTCAGCTGCCTCATTTCTAAAAAGGGAACATCAAACCTTGTGTGGTTGTTGTGAGGGGGGGAAACTAGAAAGTGTGTCTCAGGCACCCAGCACAGAGCCCAAGAACTTAGGACACACTCAATAAGTGAAAGAAACTTTGCATCCAGGCTCTCGGCAAACACTGCCCGACACCCACACTTGAACCTTCCAGGCCCAGCGTTAAGGCTGCCTCTCAGACTGAAAAGCAAAATCAACATCGCGGGGGGACACTGAAGAGACCTGTCCAAGAAAAGCCATTGGAATCCGCTCCAGTGGCTTCAGCATTCCTCCACAGAGGTATGAATTTCCCATTCCCTCCCAGGCATCTGGAGCACCCCCTCCCCCTTCCCTGCCCCCACTAGCTACAGTTGTTAGATAGCTGGGGCAACTTCAACCCCTGTAGAGTGACTCTGCCCCCCTTGTGGCCATGGGGGACTTTTCCAAGCACTCTAGTACTGAGCCTCTCCAGGTAGTGGGACCTCAGCCAGGCTGTAGGAAACGCTATGTGGAGGTTGTCAGGAGGGATAAAAAAGAAAAATCAAACACAAACTGCCTGCATCAGCACTCTGCAGCCCAGGACACAGGCGATCCGCTGAATCGGCGACCACAGGGGACTGAGGCGGCTGAGGCTGCCCCTAGTTGGTTGTGATTCAAGGCGCGCCCAGCTCAGTTCACTGGAGGGGCACTGCTCCATCAAGAATGGTGGTTTTGCAGTGGTATTTCCTGGTGGGCTGAAGGGAAACCACAGATAAGTACTGCTGATTGTTCTGTTCCCAGGATGGAACGCCATCCCCTCGCTTTCCTTTCACGCTGCCGGAACAGACACTACCCCTCCGCATCCCTCCCCCTGGCGCCCCCTCCACAAACACACATGAACGACCATGACGACCACAGCCAAAGACCGTATTCTTCCCCAAGTCCAGTCTCGGAGGAAGGCCCAGCACCATGATTCCTGGAGCTAAATCTTCAGGTGACTCCTCAGGACAGTGAAGAGATCCCTCTCCCAGTAGCCACCTCCACGCCAGAGAGCAGCTGGACCTCAGAGGTGGGTGGGCAGGCTCTGAATTCCAGCTCAGGTGCTTTACTACCTGTGTGGCCTCTCTGAGCATGTCACCTCACCTTGTGGAACAGGGCTCATCATGCTGACTTCTCCTGGGGGTCGTGAGGCTTCCATGAAATATGGAGCATGTTATATGTGAATATATGAGTACTTAGTAGGTCACCAATAACTGTCATCACTGTCATTATTCCTTGGTTTGATTGCGAAGCTCCCATCCTAGTTCTTCTCAGCCCCTCCAACCCTTACCTACTCCTACTCCTGGCTCAAGTCCTAGCTCCACTGTGAAACTTCTGGGATATTCCAGAAGCCTACAGCATACAGTGCATGAGTATGTGATGGGGCGTGAAAGAGGAGCGCATCTATGGGCCTGAGATAGCAGGTTTCTTAAGAAAGTGTACAGCCACGTGGCAGAGGACCCAGCAAGGTCCAGAGAGATTATTCTGCTGAGTGATTACAGGTGGTATTTGAGGCAGTGTTTTAAGAAAACATCTCCTATTGTATTTGCTCATAGTTACACAAAATGTTTAAGTGCCAACCGTGGGATTTCTATATGAGACCATAATGTCAGAGGTAAGGTTTCTCTGATTGTTAAGCATGCTGTCATGTCTGGAAAACAGTTTTAACTTTTTAAAAATAACAAAATATAAACATGCGTTAAGAAAAAGTTCAAACAGTACAAAAGTAGGAAAATTAAAAGCAAACATCTCTTTTCGTCTCCACACCCAGAATGTAATCACTTAATATTTATTGGGTGTCTTTAGATATACTTATTTTATCAAGACA